GAGCCATCTATGCAAATAAGGCTGTAGTTTTGGAGTTATAAGAAAGTGACCATATTAGCTAGATGACCAAATTACCCTTACGTACTATAGTTAACGTATTCATTAGTATCTTACAAATATTACTCATGAGTTGATATTATGTGAGATATAATAACGCTGTCGTTGATAATTATTGTCAATGAAACAATTCAAGAAGAGAGCCTACTGTTTTTTTAAAAGCCCGGCTACGCACCTGCTAGTTCCCTGGTGTAGCAGTTGTTCATGGATGATGGTCGATACTCACCATCAGGTGAGCTGCATGATCGTTTGCCTCCTCTTCTACAAAAATTTAAATCTAGTTAGGCTTAGGACAGTCAAGAATTAGCTTTAATGAACAACATCAAATTCACAAACTTTACAACCTTATTGTTAAGATAAATAAAATGCTTCTTCTCATTACTAATCGAAAATATTTTCAAACGTTAATTTCATAAAGGGATAAATTTAATCGTTCCGATAAGTAACACAAGCAGGTAACACTACCCGCCATAATAACGTTTTAATGCGCCACTAACCTCGAGCCAGCCGCTCTTTAATTATTTGCGTTTGAGTACAAACTTTCCCGCTCTCGGCAGCTCATTTAAAACTTAGCTAATTGCACACCTATAGATTACTCGCTGGCTAAATTAATTGCCTTAGCTACTTAATGATCGTTTGGGAAATTATTGCTTTGTCTTACGCGTCTTAACTTTTATTTATTTATTTCGACCGTATTTAACTTGCAAACTTCCTAATTATTGTGCTTTTAATATGTGTTTATTATGTAATATCTCTTGTTTTACACGTTCTTATTAAAAAAGATCAGCCCATAGTCCGCCAATTATAAAATATGAAACGAGCAGTATCTACTCGTGTGATGATTTGTTGTTATGTGTTTCGGTCTTTTTATAATTTTTGTAAAGTATAGTCGTATATAATATATAACTAAGTAAAGAATAATCCGGCCCGATCAGACAGTAAATGCGGCGTGAAAACCAGAACGCGTCGAAGCATTTTTCTCGCGACAATAGCTTTCAAGACGGCACACGCCTGCCTACTCTCTCGCATTGTAATAAGATTACGTGTACGTGTGAGGAGGGTTTATCTTTCATTTACCAGTATTTTTTGCAAAGTTATTTTCACGTAATTTATACATAGAGCTGTGCTTATTTACCCATTAGGTAAGTCATCGTAGGTCTACCTATGATTGGTCTAATGGTCGTTAACGCGGTTGCTGGTCATGAGGTCCCAGGTTCGAATTCCGGATCGATCCAAAATTGGTTGTTGAGTTTTTCTGCCAAGAAAATTTCAGCAGCAGCTCGACGTTAGGAAGTTAGCGGTGTTTCACCCCGTGCCTCGGAAAGCAAGTACCGTTGGTCCTGCGCCTGATCTCTCTCCGGTCGTGTCGAATTATACCGTTAGTCTGTAACACATTATTATTATTACCTATATTAAGATGGAATTCCTCGTTTCCAGTAAATAGGGTTTCCGTTTCCTACACTCAACCATACGTGACACAGCAATATTAAGTTTATATTTTACGCCAGTATTCTATGAGAGCAAGACCCTTCCCCGGTCGAACCGACCTATGTGTGCGGCGGAGATAAATTAGCTTTTACTGTATTATTCAAGGTATACGTATTTTATTTATTCGTATAATATGTGATGCCAAAAGTAGTATTAATTTTTGCATAAAAAATTTAAACAATTACAAGTAAAAATATTAATATATAATAATATAAGTGAATGTTTTATGTCGACTAAATTATAAATTTTCTTTACTTAACCGCTATTAATCGGACACAATAATATAAATTATACAGCAAATCTTTTATGTAGTCATATTCTAAAATTAAAGTTCGCTGTTAACATCTCATACGCGATATTTAAAAACATACGGGTGAAGATAAGTCGTAAACCCCGCGAGCCTATCTCAAACATTTAATCACTTCAAAAAATTGCAAGCTAGAAAATATCTCGGTAAAATATCAACACGCCACGTTATTGTCATTCATAACAGGCGCGTGGGTGGGGGGTGGGGGGTCGGTAGGGGGGCTGTGCGGGGTCAGGAGCTTACAGCTCTCGATAGCGGATTGTGTCATTCCAGCCGTTTCAACGTGCCACGGCTTTGTGTCTCCACTCTAGTTTAGATTCCTCCTGGGGTTTCGCAGTTATCCGTCTCAACGGCTCTCTCAGCGACTACATGTTCCCTTTCAATAATAAAAAGGTCCCTAGTATTTTTAGACGTGCTTGTAATATTAGGATAGAGACAAACACGATTCACCAACAACATATTTAATTCAATTATTAAGTTTCGTATTAGAATTACAAGAAAGCTGTGGTTTCGTTGTTAAAACATAATAGTTTCTTACACCTACGCCTAGCCCGCTAATTGCTCAATAGACGTAATCAAAGCTAAACACATTCCGTTGATATTAAATGTCTTTTAGTCGTAATTGCTACAGAACTAATGTCATTCAAAAATCCCCTTAGTAAAAAGCACTCCCTACTAAGTGGCGCTCGGCACCTTTTGACACACAATAAATCACAGCACTGAGCGGCTAATAAAAAATATGTTCCACCCTCGGTGAAAAACCAATTAATTTTCGATGGGTGAAAAAAGATCGTGCCCATCCGGACGGAAAATTCCTATCCGATGGACTCAAAAGAAAAGAAGAGGCGACCGCGGACGCGGGAGCGGAAGCGATAAAGCAAAAGCAAGTGAAGATGGCCCCCTAGCGTATTAATAAAGTTAAACGAGACGAGATAGGAAAGGAAAGCGGGGCTAACGCGAAGTGGAAAAAGGAGAATAATGCAATAGTAGTAATCAATTTCGCCCACTCTTCGCCGGCGGCGCGGTGAAGCTCTCATTTAAATTTTAAAATATCGTGGCGCAGAGGGAGCCGGAGGAGGACTTTTTAATTTGGCAGTTTAAAGAATGCACGTCGCTCTGCGACATATTCACTTTGACACGCCGTTCGCAGGCAAAAAATAAAAAGTATCAGTGATTTCCAAGGGCTGCAATAATTTGAAAACGCTTGTAGAATATTCAATGAAGTAATTCATATCTCATCAAAGGTTTAAGAAAACTTACTCACTCATTAATTTTTTTTTGACAATTGACGTAATTTTAATAAAACTGTCTTATGTTTGCTGAAAATGCATTGTTTTATAAACATATTGTATTCATTTCATACATTATACTCAGCTTATATTAGTTAAATAGTGTTTTAAAAAAACTATTATCGCATATAATATATACTTCTCATCAAAAAATCGAAACACCTTCGTTTTAATTTGTTAAAAAATTGAAACACCTAATTTAATACAAAGGAGTTTTCATTCCATGAAAAAAAAAACGTTATTGTATAGCTGGCAATCTGGCCATTACAATGGTAGGTAAGCGAAAATTCAAAATTCGAAATTAGAGTTTCATTAATTTGTTTATCCTCTAAATTAAATGAATCACGCGTCGTTCTGGATCTGGCAGGAATCGGGTCACTTCTGAGAGAGATGATCGATTTATTGTATCAACTTCTTTACGAAACCGGCGCCTTAATGCATTTCAACTGCAGCAGCAGCTTCAAGTTGTACGAAGGGTCGCTGTAAGTGACTCTACAACTAGAAGAAGGTTGAAGGAACGTGGACTGGTACCACACAAGCCAGAAAATGGACCGAAATTAACTGCAGACCATCGAAGAGCGCGCCTTGACTTTGCACGCGAGCACCTAAATTGGTCATACCTCCAATGGAGCAAAGTTCTCTTCTCTGATGAATGTAAAACCATGCTCTATGGTAACGACGGAAGGAACAAGGTCTACAGAAGAGATGGATAACGCTTTGTACAATGCTGCATTGAAGAAAGGGTCAGTTATGCTGGTGGTTCGTGGACGGTTTGGGGAGGAATCAGCGCCGACGGTAAGACAGAGCTTGCCTTCGTGTCTAGGTCACGTCTACCTGCTGTAAACTGTCATCGGTACGTGCGTTCAACTAAAGAAGCAAATCCGAGCGAGGGATCCTGCCCCAGACTCACTAGACCAGCTGAAAAGTGCCATTCAGGAAGAATGTGACAACATCCCACAGCATGTCATCGTAACTCTAATCCGATCGATGAAAAACCGGATGGAAGCGGTGATAAGAGCTCGAGGAAGGAACACTAGTTATTAAACGTTATTTATTACAAGTTTTTCAGTTTTTTTTTCACCTACTTGTGTTGTTTCATTCATTGCGTTCGTTCTCCATACAAAATAAAAATGACTCATTAAAGAAAATATGAAACCTATGAAAATTTAATTTGAATTTAGAACAATAACATTAAAATTTGAAAACCTCATAAAACTCACTATTAAGCGACATTTGATATTTATTCGTAAATAATTAAAAAAAAAACTGATAATCCTTACAAAACATAAACTTGCAACTTGCAAGGTGTTTCGATTTTTTTGATGAGAAGTATATTATAAGTTATATATTTTACTTTGAACGGAGTACAAAAAATTTTTGTTGTCAATAGATAATTCATAACCATTCACGAATTACCTTAAATAGGTGGCGAATTTAATAAAATTATTCTTTGAGGTCATAATATAACATATCTACAAAATTTTATAATTAGCATACTTGACGATTAATCGCGAGTCAGGGGGATCGAATTATGCCAAAATATGTTTTATAATACTAATTATGTGTAAATATTAATATATAGGTACATATTCGTGAAAAACACACAATAGATTTTCGGGTTCCAGATGTATTATATCATCTTAAACCTTGCGTCCAATCTCCACGTGTTATAATAAACTGAGATAATATATGGCGAGATAGGTTTTGTGTTTGCGAGTACACTTCTGCACTATAATATGTATATATCTATCCATAAAAATTTTTAGTAAAGAATGGTCTTTGCGAATATGCACATTGTCTTCCTTTCAGAAATGTTGAAAATTTATAGGATTTAATTAAGATAATTTGTTCATTTGTAGCAACAACGGCCAGACCTTCCTCGGTTGCTTCAACAAATGCACGCGGCGCATCTTCCAGCGCATGGTGCTCCACCACTGCCGCTGCTTGGCCAGGGTGCATTACCCCCGGCAGGTCTACTCGGCCTGGGCGTCCCACATCATCCCCTTTCTGTACTAGCGAAACCACCTGAAATTCACCGACCTGATGATAAGGGAAACGGTAAGTCTTATCTTAGTTATTAAATATTTATTTGTAGGATTTAAGAAGTTTCGACTATTTCTTTTAATGATAACAGCTACGGTCCCTTGTAAGATAGCGATCTCTTTAAAACAATGGAACATAACATTTTAAGTATAATTTTTGTCGACGGCAGACATTGTTGTATTTCTTTCTACTTCTTTTTTATCACTTCTAAATCTATAACAGTCCACTGATTGAGAGAGCCTCCCCCATAATAGAATATGCCTTAATCGCAACGCCTGGTGGATTAGCGAACGCAGGGCCAAACATATTGTACCGTAAACGCTGGTCCTCGCTGCCGACCTGGGTATTTTGTTTTGTATATTATTTTGGGTATTTTAGATATTTGACTGCCTTGTTGGTCTTGTGCTTGTGGTAGTGCGACTGCTGATCATTAGGTTCTCTGTTCGGGCCAAAAGATCAATTATTGAGTTTTCCATCAATGAATTCTTAGCACCTGCCCGGAGTCAGGAAGTTGGCCGTGTCTCACCCACGTACTTCGGAAAGCACGTAAAGGCGTTGGTCCTGTGCCTGATCTCTCTCCGGTCGTATCGATTTACCGTCCCATCGGACTATGAGAGAGGGAATTGAGAGTGCACCTGCGCTTGCGCATACACTTGAGGTTTATAGTCATATCCTGCGCCGATGGCTAGTCTCCGTTGAGGCAGGCCGCCGTGACCGAAATTCGGTCGGTAGGACATTATTATTATTGTTTTCTATTTATGTAAGCAACTTGGCTGGCTTGGCACCACCCAAATGATCCGGTTTCTTTTAAAAACTGATGTGTCAAACGATAGTCGATCAGATAGTTACTGGCTGCTACAGTCCGTGGATGCCTACAGCAAACTCTAAACAAAAAAGGCTACATATACGTTGTCACCTCTAAGGACTAGTATGGAAGGTCTCACAGCCTAAAATTGTACTGCCTCTGTGTACCATTCAGACCGGAATACCACGGTGCAAGCTTTGATATTTAGCGGCAGTAATGGACAAGAGAGTGGTGGGTAACTACCCAGGTGGACCTCTAAGCGTAAAAAAATCCTATCACTTAAAAACCTTTCCGACACCCTAGGGATGACATGAGTAATGGATTTCTAAACGCTGCGCTGTATACACGCCACGCGTCGGATGTATTTCTTAACAGTTTCGTAACATACAGGAAAAGGTTTTGTTTACCGTTATTAGTTACAATACAGCTAAACTACATTTAATTATTGTTTAATCAATCCTTTTATTCGTTTATAAAATGACAAATGCTGCATAGTCATAACATGATTACCGCAACAGTTTATTTGTTGTATTTATTATATATTTTACCCTAGTGCCTACAATATAGTAATATTATGTCTCAAATATTTGTAAGAATGCTAACAACAATTCATCAAACATTTTTTTATGATTACAACATACGTTCAAAAATAGTCTAAGGTTTTTTAAAAATGCAAACACAAATTTCTGTAAGTAAATTTCGATTGCTTAATCAAATTTGTTCTTGTATATTTTAAAAGTGGTAATTCGCTGTTATTAGCTTGACTTGTAGCTATATAAGTGTGTGAATTATGTGTGTATGTAAAAGAATTATATAATTCGGATTTCACCTATTTCCACGTCTGAATAATTTTCATGACTACTCGTATGACTTTTTACAATGTTAAAGCATCTGTGAAGTTAGTTTGTGTTCACTACATTGAATAATTTCGGATCATTACCCACCGGGTGAATATTTTAAACGCTACGTTATATCAATGCGACCGTCTTGTTTGCTTTACGCCAGGTACGGAGTCTATTAGAGTCGACCTCGCCCGCGCCGTCTCGGATCCCACGTCTGTTTCAATATTTACCGTCTTCGAGAGGCTTTTTGAACTCAATGTTTGCGTGTTTTCGGATCGCTGACGGCTGTACTTCGGAAAATATTTCTTTTGAATATCTTGCTTCCTCAGATCGACTTGTCTCTGTCAACTCGTACATTTGTTTAGAGTACCTATACTGTGTGCAGACATGTGAGATAGATACTGACGCAGTTTTACTATTTCACTTTGTAACTTTCTTGCCATGCTTGACTTTGTAGTCACGCTGCATCTGCAGTGGCTGCAGCATGAATCGGCTCGACTGCAGAAGGACCACCCTCCTACAGGACACCGACGTTAAATGTTAGCATATGCAGCGTCTGTGCTTTGTATATAGTAGTTATTTACGAGAACCGGAGACCGTAGTACCGATGATAGGGCATGACCGAATATCAGGATTGGCAACGCATCTACATTTTATTTTTTTAAATGTGTCTATGGGTCATAGACTATCATCATGAGGCCTGTGTACTCCTTTGTCATCCTTAATTTAACTAAACAATGTGCCTTAAATTTAGTTTGCGGATCCAGGTTTCGTATTCCAACTGGGGCCAATCTTTGACCAAGCAAGTCGTTAATTTTTGAGTTTTTATATCATTTTCTCTAACATTGCATCCAAACCCATCGCCGATCTTATCTTCATAACGCACAATACATCAAATGAGTTGAGCTTGAGTCAAGTGGCGATTATACTTTTATGGAATTATATTTTTTTTTTTCACATCTGATAACTTGAGATAACATTTCTGTACAAAAGAACAACATTTATCAACTTGCGTTATAAGGTGGGCACAACATTGTCAGAAAATAGGCAATGTTGAGACATTGAAGTAAATACATATGAAGTGTACATATGTAAAATGTTGTTTGTAAGTATTTTTGTACAACTGCCACGCCGCAGTGCTTGCGGAGTGGATATTACCCGTGCAAACAGGAAGCGAGTTTCGAGCGTGGAACGAATAATCCACGCGCGGCAGGGAGCTACAAGCGCCGCAAATGAAAATGTAACAGAGAAATGGATTTGGAAGCCGCCCGTCGCCCCGGTTAATTACAAAAGCAAGCGGTAATCTGCGCTCCGGGATGTTCCGGCTTAGCGCGCCCCCCGCTCCCCCCCCCCCCGGCCCCGCCGCCGCGCCCGCCACTTCCCTGGCTAATTTGTGCCATTATCGGTGTACTGATGTAAGAGTTACCGCGCAGATGGCCCCCACCGCCCCACACCTCCGCACCTAGCCCGCGCTCAATTAATTATTCGTCGCTGGTGTGAGCGTCGCGTGTTTTAGTCAATTAGTAACGTAATTTTGCGGGTGACTTGAGTGCGCGCCACCGCACGGCGACTCAGACACCGCGTTTTAGTACTTGCTAAATTATACATGCGAGAATTAATATGATTAACGGTCAGCGGAGCTCGTAATTACAATGATAATGGGATACGTGTATTATTACGAATAATTGTCCTAATGACTAGTTCGTTTTGAACCCACTCATTTTCTTTAACTACTGTTCCTTCTTAAGTGTCGGTTGTTTATGTTGAATCATGTTATTGGATAGTTTTCAGTTATTGAACAATGATTATCATCGCCAGCAGTCTGACACGAACCACGTTCAAGTTGGGTGACTCGCCATTAATTCCCACGCGTAATAGACATACTCGTATTATCAGATTGTTTAAGGCTTATTTAATCCCAGAAATGTTTAATATGGTTACTGCACCCTTTATTATTGTTTGAGGCTCCCTATTTTGTTTTTTACAACAAATGAAACAAGATATGGTATTAGATATGTATAATACTTGCGCCTAGGGTTGCCAGGTTTTAAAACCGAAAAGCCGGACTGACAAGCGAGCTAAATTTTTTTTTTGCGCCTGAAGCAAATATGGGCAACCCTCCGGAAAGCGGGGGGAGGGAGGTTGGGAATGCTCATAGCATACCACGCAGCCGGCTGCGTGGTTATGTGGTGACTTTTACCCACTAAACCCAACCTTTTAGGAATTGGCTTAACGATCTGACTAGAGATCTCTAAGCCGTATACGAACGCGACCCTCCTTGGCAGAAAGGAGGGCGCATGCGAGCTAAAACAATGCTTTTTATTATATACCATAAAATCTTCTTAAATTCTAATGAAATAACAATAAAATTGAATGGATCAGTCTTCTTTATTATTAATAATTCAATATTCATTACAATATTAATTTCAATAAATGCAAAAGTATATGTATGAATGTACATGAAAAATTAAAAAAAATGGTCAAATTTAAAAGCTTAACAAAAGTAGTACAAGCCGGACACTGTCTAATGTGGCCGGACACGCAACCAAAAAGCCTGTCTGTGTCCGGCCTTATCGGGACGCCAGGCAACGCTACTTGCGCCTATAGCTGAAAGCTTAATTTATTGAACATACTATCGTCTGAAACATTAGTCAGATATAGTTTTGATATTAACTAGGCGAGGACTCTTCTCCTGGCTAAGTGTCCGTCTGGGTGGATACGACCCTCTGTCTGAAGGGTATAGAGAGCCAGTATGATTACACACTGTGAGGTAGGTATTCCATCTTGGTCGCAGAGACGAAATACAGGGTAAAGCCACGCTTCAGCTATATTATGGTTGTAGCACGAATGGGTCGGCTCTATCGGGGAAGGACCACGCTCTCACAGAATACCAGCGTAAAGTTAAGCTACTACTTAATGCTGCTGCGTTTCGTATGGTGAGTGTAGAGAACCGGAGACCCTTTTTACTGGAAACGAGGCATTCCATCTTAGTCCTCACGGGTGACAACGCATCTGCATTTTGATTCGTAATCAAGGATACATGTAGATGTCTATTGCCCCATTTACATTCAGCCCTGTTGGGCAGGGAAGTGAGCAGGGCAGTGGGCAGGGCAGTATGTAAACAGGCTACTCGCGCTGACACTGCCGCTGCCGCTGCCACTGCCCGACGATCCCTCAAAGTCGAAGTCAAAGGACGGGCAGCGCGAGCGGCAGTGAGTGTTCACATTCAGCTCCATCGCTCACTTCGCGCCAAGCGCCTGGATGAACGAACGTGCGTGCCGTCTTGTTATTAAATAAGTACGATCTACGAAAATGCCTTTCGAGTGGAATAATGAAAATACAATAAAGTTTTTAGAACTTTTGGAATC